TGGAGCACCATTTACCCTATGTTATCCTGTCTCCCCTCCTCAGGAGAACTGGCCTCCTCTTCACCTCTGAATGGCTTTGGAGTACCTGGTCCCCCCAGCTGAGTTCCAGGGACCAGATTTGGAACTTCAGGTCCCAGAGCCCAGCAATGAGTGGAGAAGCCAGGTGCTGGCTGGCACCTGACAGCAGGGCACTCCTGGCTGGATGACACATTTGGTCTGCTCACCTTTTGTCACAGGTGCTGGGTGTAAAGGTGAAACTGAGGCACAAGGAAACAGACAGGCATAACAGACAGGACAAGGGAGAGCTTTATTAGGGGGAGCTCCCAGATGAGGTTCTGTGACCTAGGCCAACGGGTCAGGGAAGTCTTGTTCAGTAGCTGGGGACTAAGATTTTTAAAGGAGTGGTGAGGAATGTATGGCAATTATGGCAATTAGCATATGGGGTCTGGAAACTATGAGAATTGCTTGTCAACTCCTTGCTGCTTTCTTCAAACCTGGAATATCTGGTTTCACTGCTTATCTTATCTGATGCCGTCTGCTGCTGAACCCTGGGGGACTTGCAGGGAAGTACATGCAGGGCCCTGACCTGCTTCTGCTTAGTCCGAACATTCCAGCCTTTGTAGTGATAAAGGGGAATGGATATTTGATCTGACTACTTCCTGCTAGTAGGGGGCAACAGGGAGAGCATTAGGTGCCGGAATGGTTTGGGCCAGCATTGGCAGGTAGGGGGCTGTAAGGATGTAACAAGAGTTGGTTAGCAGTTAGATTGGATATGGCTTTCATTCACTCTTGAAGGAACTTAAAACGACAAGGAGTTAAAAGTAACAGCAAGCAAATTATTACCAGGACTGTCCTTAGGGAGCTGGGACAGAAGACTTCCTCTTGTGTCTCAAAGTGCAGGGGGTACGGACAGAGGGGAAGGGCATCCCCTGGTCACTGTTCACACCCATCAGTCGGAAAGTGATCCAGTAACCCTGAGGGTGTCCCCATCAGATTTAGGGACCCAAGGGAGCGTCCAGGACTCCCTGGGACAGGAAGGCTCCCTGGCACAGATCTGTGGCTTTGTCCAGCAGACAGGGACCTTGGATCAGAGAGAGACACAATGGAAGCTGAGGGGGGGAGTGGGACCTGGCTTTAAGGCTGGTAAAATGAAGGTTGGTCAGGTCTTTTTTCAGGGTGAGAGGAAGGGGAAGCAGGACATTTTAGAGAAAGCACTGCAGGGCCACAGACGCAAAACACACATACAGGTAGAAAAGGCTCAGAGACACCCTCTGTGTTCCATTCCAGGCAGAAGGTGCAGCGACTGCTATGCCTAATGCTAGGAGTCCTGTTATCCACGGGAATCCCAGGGAGTAAACACAAAAGGCTGGAGGCCACATGAAAGAAAATAGACACAGAGAAACGATGGACACGAGAAACTGACCTTATTGTTGCACCCCTTTCGTGGAAAGGCAATTATTTCCAGCTAGAACTAGAGTAGCAGAATAAACCCCTGCAGTGGCGCCCTGAAAAACAGGGACCCTAAGTTCCCATATGAGTTTGCTGGTCTTCAGTGTCCAGAAAGACAAACAAGACAGAATGAATATACACAGAGAGATACTGACTAGAAGTTGCTCGTTCAGACAGGCTCCAGAGGTTCGATAGGAGAAGAGGGGTGGGCTACATCCCAGCGGAAGCAGGGCTGAGCCGTCAGGGAGCCTGCGTCCCTACTTTTCCTGGGTTTTGGGCACCAAACTGAGGTACAGGGAGATGTACAGACATAACTGACAGGACAAGGGAGAGCAGAAACAGAAATAGCTTTATTAGGGGGAGCTCCCGGATGAGGTTCTGTGACCCAGGCCCACAGGTCAGGGAAGTCGTGCTGAGCAGCCAGGGTTTGGGGCTCAGGTTTTTAAAGGGGTGGTGAGGAATGTATGGCAATTATGGAAATTAGCATATAGGGTCTGGAAACTCTGAGAATTGCTTGTCAACGCCATGC